TTATTCAACGTAATATAAAATATTATTATTATTAATGTTTATTTCATGTAGGAATTACCTGCAAATTTTCATGGAGACACAAATTCTCAAGAACATTTTCTGTGAATTTCAAATATGCAAGAAATGTTCCCACATATTTAAATGCGCAGACAACACCAAAAAAAAATGCGCAGGAAATTTTGCAGATAAATTCATAGGAAATTTTCTTTTTTTTTACAAAAAAAAAGATTACCTGCAACATTTTATTGCGATTTATGAAAATAAGATCAAATATTTCTTGCAGAATTATATTTGCAAGAAAATTTCCAGAAAACAAAAAAAAGTTCTTATGAAATTTCCTACAACTTTTTATTCACAAAAAATAAGTCTATATGATTAATATAATTGCAGCAAAATTTTTAGAAAATTCCTACCGATAATATTTTGCAGAAAAATTCGTAAGTAAACAGTAGTGTAAAGTTGTAAGTTGAAAAATACCTACTTATTGTACAACAAAAGTTGAAAAATACCTCCATAACTAAATGATACGACTCTCGTTAGAAATTTTTTTTATTCATAGGAAAGATTACAAAAGCATGACAATGATCGAACCTCTAGGTTCTCTCACTTTTATCCCAATCCCTCCCCCCAACTATTAAGCTAATCTTAGTGATCATTATAAATGTTTGAAATAGTATAGTTATTCTCTCTTTTTATATAAAAATAAAATAACTATTTATAAAATATATAAAAATACAAGAAGAAATGTTGAATTGTATTTCAAATAATTTTTGTAAATATTTTTTAGAGACTATGTATCGTATGTTCAATAAGACAATATAAAGTGTTGTTTTAAAAAGATTTTTTTTTTCATAGGTGATAATAAACAAAAAAAGTTTTTACAAAATACTTTGAATATATATAAAACTTTCTAATACAAAAATATCATTTTTAATGCACTTTTTATGTCAGGTGTTATCCACATGATATAAAAAGTGACACAGTGACATACTTATAAATATGTTTAAATATTTTATCACGGTTATTGACTTATCTGATATAGAAAGGAACATTCTATGACAGGTAATTAATCACCCTCCATAGAAAGTGTCCTTATTAAGGTTATTGGGAGTGTGAACTCCTTCGAGCTCTTTGTATTGTTTCATCATTTTCTTCGTCTTTGCGTTCTATGTTGCTTCCTTCTTTTTGGTGACCCATCCCTGCACGCGCACCGCCCCTGCTTTTCATTATCTGTCAATGTCAATGCATTTTGGCCACCACCACAACCCATCCTTCTCTGGCAAAGTCAACATCATTCAGTGACATTCTATCAAGTTCATTCTCATCTTCTCTTCTCCTTTTTGTGCATTTGAAATTTTAATGTCATTGTGGTGTTGTTGAATGATTGTTTTAGTTATTGGGATAGATTTCTCATTAAATTGTTGCACTAATTGAGTATTTTGGTACTTGGTTGCTGGTTTGGTTTGCTAGTTTTGGGTGTCTTTGGGGTTTGGGTGCTTATTTAGTTGCTAATTAATTGGTTTGATGCTTATGTTGGAGCTAGTTTTGGGGCTCGATGGTGGTGGTAATTTAGGCTCTATACATGGCTCATTTGAGAGATCTTTATGGATTCTATTGGAGTTGATTTGAGGTTTGAAAATAACTCTTAATTTATTTAGGTTGGATTATACTTTGAGATAACTAACTATATGGATGGCAAAAATACTCGTACTTATGGGTATTCGTGGATAAAATTCAACACGAATAATAAATGGGTAGTCTAAATGGATACTCATGAGTAACGGGTACAAATATTTTTCTACCCATTTATAAATGAGGCGGGAGGGGATATGATAGTATCTATACCCACGGGTAACTGTTTAATAAAATTTCTTAAATACCCTTATATATAAAACTACATAAGCCCAAAATTACACTCTCTCTTTTATTTTCTTTTAGCCGCAATGCACACTTTCACGCACGACATAAAAGACCTTATTCTCTAATCATCAAAGGGGATAAACCCTCTTAATTTGAACCAAAATCCAAACCCAATTCACCGATTCTTTGATCCCTTCAACTCTTTGATCTGCTTTGCATCGACAATGATAGGTATATAGTTCTCTAATCTATATTTCTGAAATCTTATTTGATCGATTTATAGCTTTTTGTGAGTGGAAGTAGATATAGTTGCATTATCACATTTAATTATTTAATTATTTGTACTTCAACTCTACAAAGTTCTTCAAAAAGTATATTTTATTAGACAATAAAATTATAGACATTACCATCAATAAATTGCCTGATAAATCCACAAACTTGTTGATGCTCACAATCCCATTCTTCATTAGACTTAGATCCTAGCTTATTTGCAACAAAAACATGAAGATACAAATTCTTCACAAATAGTAAGTCATTCATCTTGCCTTTTCACAATTGACAATTTGTTCCATTCAAAGAGATCATCTTCGTATGTGCCTCTATCATTGAAGCAAGTCAAACAACTTCTTAACCAAAGAGCTTTAATGCTACTCTGATGGGGGATAGTCTAACATAATAACAACTTAATAAAAGAAAAATAACATAGCATAAATTCAATCCCTATACTTGCAAGAATCTATGAGGAACACCAACAAGATAGAGAAAAAATAAATAACCCAAACACATAAGATATTTAATGTGGAAAACCCCTCAATGTAAGGGTAAAAACAACGAATCGTCTAAGCCATAGAAAAATATTATTATGATCAACAAAAGGTACTAGGTAGTCTCCAAAGAACACACCAAACGATGCTTACAATCAACCAAAGAAAACCAAGCGCAATGCTCACAAATGAGAAACAAGAAAATGAAAAAACACCAAAAATATAGTTGTTACTGAGAAATGTTTTTCTCCAACTCCAAACATGCATTCAACGATCCAACCGTTGAAAATGAAGAATGACATCCTATGAACCAGCTTTCCAAAAATCAGTGTGACCCAACAATGAACAAGTTTGTAGTTGCAATTCGAAAACCGCTTTCTCATGGATATGCGAATTAGACAATGATTTTTCTCTCTATGTTTTGTTGTTGTTCTCTCTTAATATTAAGTCACTCTCTCAACCTTAATCTTAACCCTTTCCACTTGGTTAAATGAGACATAATGGATTTACATATTTGGGTTTATTCTCTACATAGGAACGGATCCCAAAATCCAACATGATCTAGCGTCTAGGAACTAATTGAGTAGTTCCAACTGGGTGAAATTGCTTGCAGTTCGTGTTAAAACCAAACTTAAGTCTTTAATGAAAATTATCATCTATATAACCCATAATTTATCATATTAATCATAAGAAAATATAAGCAAAAATGTATCTGAACTCATGATGATAAGTGAACAGTGTGGTTTGACCTTCTAAATTAATACATATTCTTTTGAGAGAACCTTTAACTATCTGTCAATCTCATTCTGATAATGGACGTTAGAAAAGAAAAGAATGTACTATGATTTGGGATCCTAACTTATTTATAGAAAATCATAGGGTTGTCTTTTGGTAATTTTATTTTAACCTATCACAAAATAGAATTACTTTTTAATCACTACACATTAAAGGTACTATACTCTATCAGATACATAATTGTTTAAATTATTTATTCGTCATTAGATCAAGCACAACCCTAAGTGTCCTAATTATATAATTATTCACATATAATGCCAATGTTGGATTAAAGATCCAACAATTCAGACTTGTGTAGTAATCTTCTAGGTGGGTCTCTATTGGTAGTCCCAACATGCCAATGGCGCCTTACCCGATAGCATATGGAGTGTTATTTTCATTTTACCATTTCTCTATACAAAGAAAAAATAGATATTCTATTTTAGTATACACAATTTTGAACTAATTTACCCCTATATAACTACCTCTAAACCACTTTCTCTTTTGATATTATTTATTTATTCTCTCTTTTTTCTATTTCAATGACATTCAATTTTTTAATTTCTCAAGTAACTACTCATTATTTTCTTTTAAATAAAGAGTCATAGAGTACATCTTTTTCTCCTAATTTATATAAGGATAATAACTTCATATTTGAATAATTAAGATAAACAATTTAATAATTTAATAAGATACTTATCGTATGTTAAAATGAATATTAGTCTCATAAAACATGTTAGTACTTTTTTTTTTCTCTAATTTCCATTAATATATAAATTAGATATTTTTTTCCCAATCTTTTCAGCAAAAATATAATATATATGATTGATAAATATATAATAAATACTTATCTATTATTTTTGTATCATTAATTATTATTTTAGATAAATTATTTTGAATTTTATTAAATATATATTAAAATCCTTATGTTTAATTTATTTTTCATAAAATATATTTGGAAGTGACTAAATTAAAAAATAAAATAGACTTATGTATATGCACAATACCAAAAAATAAAGTGATTATAAAAAATGCATAATACCATATTCATTAATTTCTATCATTGATTATTAATTAAAATACAATATTGTGATTTATTTTAAATATAACCATATATTTATAAAATTATTTCTCTTAATCATTATTGTTTTTTGGTGCATAAATTAAACTCCAAAACATTATTGTTTGTAAAATTTATTTTAATAACTAAAATAAATAAATTTAAACATAAATATTAATTATATAATTGTTAAGGTTATTATTATAATATTTATATATTTTTTTGGTTTTAAAATATACTACAATTTATTTTTAATTATTAAAATTGTATAATAAATTTCATTAATGAGAAAAGTTTAATTCTTCATTAAATATGATCGAATATATTAAATTTAATATATTTTTTGGACAGCATATATGATTTGACATTTATTGCAAAGTTCAAATCTTCATCGAGTCTAAGTGTAATTTAGTTGTATATGTATTTATAAATTTGATTAACAAAATTTTGTGAGCGAATCATGCTTTGGTAGTTTCTTGCATGGTAGGGACAGAAAAAAGAGAGTACCTTAAATTTAACTACCTCAACTATGGGACACTGTGACACATATTCCCTTTTCCTCCGTGTCACTTCCCAAAATAGAAAATCCAAAGCAAACACTGAAATCTGATATGATACCCTCTCCGTTTCATTATTCATTCCTTCCATACAACTTCTCTCTAAATCTGAGTTCTTAACTTCCTCTTGTCACAACCCACTCAGATTTGATCTCGACCCAGTAAGTTTTTCTTCTCTCAATTCACTTTCTCTGCTGATTTGCCATCACGTTTGCATTTTGCGCTGGATCTGGACCAATTTGCCATCTGGGTTTGTTTGATTTTGTCGTTTCAATGCTAATGGAAATATTTGCTTTTGATATATGATGCATTCCAGATTCCACTTTTTTATTTTATTTTTTATTTTTGGTTGTTTTGCATTGAGTAGTGGTTGAATTATTAACTAGTCTTACTCCTTTTGATGCTGTTTTCCATTGGGCCAGATCTGGAGTTCCATTTATTTCTGTCTAATAGTTATCATTTATCGCACTCATTAACATTTGATTTTGATCCAGTGATGTTTTCAGAATCATATTTTTCATTGTATATCACGCATTCAATTATCAGAATCATAGGGTCTTTGCGGATCCAGCATTTTCATTGGTTAGGTTTCAATGGATTCGTGGTCATCATTGCTTTCTTTCACCTCATTTTTCTTCTTCTAATCTTTACTATTTTTCGCTCCTGTGGGGCCGTATAGTGCATACAATTTAACTGAAAACTAAGAATGAATCTTGTGGATTGAGTTGTTGGATTTAATTAAAATAGCTTGAGTTACACTCTTTTTTGCATGTTAGAACTTCAGTTAAATAATGCCATAAATTAGTTTTGGTATTTCTACCTGTTCCTTTTTTTGTTTATTTTCTTTTCTTTCATTTCAGCTCTATGATTTAATTAAGAAGACTAATTAGTAATCAAACCTGTAGTTATTTGCTGACTGCAGTCTCCTTCCTTGCTTGCAGGTTAATCTTTGAATCAGTTATCACTGTGTCAATTTCTTGCAAACCTTGTGAGGAAGCTGAACCATGTTACCTAGTTTGGAATATTGGGGTTGCTAGTTTATGAGTTGTTTTGGATGGTAAATTTGGTGGTGCTTCATGTCTGGTGAAACAAGATTTGTGCTGTGATCAGTTTTAGTCCATATCTGAGCAGTGAAAAGTATATCTGGATTTGCATTACTTTCAACTGATAAATGTCGAGGGGAAGACCTGATGGATCTAAGAAGCGTTTAATTGCTTCCGTTTGTGGTGCGGCAATCTTTCTTGGTTTTATATATGTGTACCATGGATCCATATTTGGTTCTCAGAATGGTGGTTCAGCTGCTCTTGAATATGGCAGCAAGTCATTGAAAAGACTTGGTGCAACATACTTGGGTGCAGAAGATGATGCTGATAGCAAGCAAGATGAATCTTCATCAAGTCTTGTGCAGGGAGATGGTGAAGATGATATTATACCAAAGAGTTTCCCTGTAAGTTTTTGTGCAAGCATAAACTCAAGGCACATTCACTATATTTTTTCACAAACACTCTTTTCTTCATCAAGGCATAATTAAAATAAAACTCGTAGTTTAATGTATAAGCAATGCAGCACAGGCTGCACAGCATCACCATAGTGAAAGAGGCAAAGCTAAGCAACATAATTAAATTTTTCATTATTTTCATCACCATATTCAGGTTCTATTCCTCCTCATGCTCAGATGAGATAGATTCACTACCTTTACCGTAAAGGTTATCTAAGTCAATATCTGTTGATCCCCCATCTAGTTCAAGGTGGTGCATTTTCTTATCATCAATCTAATGGAATTTGCAATGCTTCTGTTTTGAAAGGTTTGTGATGATCGCCATTCTGAGTTGATTCCTTGCTTAGATAGACATCTTATCTATCAAATGAGATTAAAACTGGATCTTTCTTTGATGGAACACTATGAGAGACATTGTCCGCCTGCAGAAAGGAGATTCAATTGTTTGATTCCTCCTCCGGCAGGATACAAGGTAAAGAATATGCTGGGACAAGATGTGATCTTCGACTATAACATATCCTTGTTGATACATTTGTCCCATGTTAGTCAGTGTCAAACAAATGTTGCTTCTATGGTGTTTCAGGTCCCTATTAAGTGGCCACAGAGCAGAGATGAAGTGTGGAAAGCAAACATACCACACACTCACCTTGCACATGAGAAGTCTGACCAGAACTGGATGGTTGTAAAAGGTGAAAAGATAGTGTTTCCTGGAGGAGGGACACATTTTCACTATGGAGCTGACAAGTACATTGCATCAATTGCAAATGTAAGGCTTAATGGTTATACCTATAAGGCAGAATAAAAGGGTACATGTATTCTGTTTTTCAGTTGGTAGCATCATTGGAATTTGTGTGTGTTATCCAGTATGCATTCATTTTATTGATGAAAATATGATATATATATATATATATATAGATATAGATATAGATATAGATATAGATATAGATATACACACATCACATCAGTTAATAGGCTTTTCAGCACCATGTTTGAAAGTGTTGGTTGTTTGGGGCATTCTGATTATATAAATTTTCATCTCATGGATCTCACAGTGAGTATGTATTGCCAGATGCTCAATTTTTCAAACGATAATCTTAATAATGAAGGAAGACTGCGGACAGTGCTTGATGTTGGCTGCGGTGTTGCGAGTTTTGGAGCTTATCTTCTTTCATCTGATATCATTGCAATGTCCGTGGCACCTAATGATGTGCACCAAAATCAAATTCAGTTTGCTCTAGAAAGAGGAATTCCTGCATATCTAGGTGTTTTGGGAACTAAGAGACTCCCTTACCCTAGCAGATCTTTTGAACTTGCACACTGTTCTCGATGTCGGATTGATTGGCTTCAAAGGGATGGAATACTACTACTTGAGCTAGACCGGTTGCTTAGGCCAGGAGGTTATTTTGCATACTCATCTCCAGAAGCATATGCTCAGGATGAGGAGGATCGAAGGATATGGAGAGAAATGAGTACCCTCGTGGCACGTATGTGTTGGAGAATCGCTGCAAAGAGGTTTCAAACTGTCATCTGGCAAAAACCTCTTACAAATGAATGCTATATGCAGAGAGAACCCGGCACTCGCCCTCCTCTTTGCCAGACTGATGATGACCCAGATGCAATTTGGGGAGTGAATATGGAAGCCTGCATAACACCTTACTCAGACCGTGAGTACCTTTTTCTCGTGCTATATAAAATATATTTCTATGCCTTGAAGACAAATTATAGTTATTTCTTTTTGACTAGCAATATATTGCTGCTTCTTTTCTTTCTAGTGTATCTTCCAATTGTATATTATTATTATTATTATTTATACAAGTTTAAAAAAACTTTTGAGAACTTTTTTATTGAAAAATATTTTTTATTTCTAGTAGAAAAGTTCTCAAAAGCGTTTCTAACTTGTATTCAAATAGGCTCTTATGCTATGATGCCGTGAGCCATGTGAAAATGAGTTCTTTGTCTGTTATTGCTGTAGATATCCTAAATGAACGATATGTCCCTGAGAAGTGAGGGTTATTTGCCTTCTCAGATTCTGTCAATTAGCTTCCACTTGGTAGGATAATATTAAATTATGAGAACTAATAAGAGCCAATTTGGATACAAGATAGAATTGTTATTGAGAGTTTTTCTACTAGAAAAAGCTCTTTATTTTCAGTAGAGAAGCTCGTAAAAGTTCTTTAAAATTTGTATTCAAACAGACTTTAAAAAACACTGAATGACCGTTTAGGTCAACCGTGTCGTCTTCATCTCTTCTAATTAGATTGAGGAGTATCCCATGTTCAAGATCCACAAGATAAGTTGTTCCGCCCATGGTTGTTATGAAAACAGGAAGGAAGGGAGTGAAAACATTGAATTACAGTACAGGGATCTGATTATTGTCAGTAAATGGCCAAAGAAGAAACTATGTTATTATGGCAATATATTATATATTTACTGAATATTAATAAATTCATCGGTTCATGTTGACAAGAACAAGTAGTAAATAGTAACACCCCCCCCCCCCCCAACTAAATAAAATAATCAATGTCGTTACTTTGTATCGTTTTGTGTTGTATTATCCATGAATTATCTGTTTTGAGCTGAATTCTCCTGGCTAAACCATTAATGTCTGTTATTAGAAATACTTCAGTTTTTTCCATCATCTTAGCTACTGTTTGTTAAAGTTTTGCAAATGCTTTGTGTGCATGTAGCTGATAATCCAAGCAGGTAAACCCTGATTAAAAGCTTTTTGTTGATTTTATCAGATGACAATAGAGCCAAGGGTAGTGGATTGGCTCCATGGCCTGCAAGATTGACTACTCCCCCTCCTAGATTAGCTGACTTTGGCTATTCAAATGAAATGTTTGAAAAGGATACGGTAATTGGAATATGCAATTTATTCTTTGGTTTGTTATAATCAGGTTCTTGTTCCTGTAAGCATATAAATTATTGAAATAACAAATATATAGTTAGATAAATAGGCTATATGCTTAACTTTTGTTCTGTGGTACAGGAACTGTGGCAAGGAAGAGTTGAGAATTACTGGAATCTGTTGGGTCCAAAAATTTCATCAAACACGTTGAGGAATGTGATGGACATGAAAGCAAGCATGGGTTCATTTGGAGCTGCTTTTAGAGGCAAGGATATTTGGGTGATGAATGTTGTACCTCGTGATGGACCAAACACACTTAAGCTTATATACGACAGAGGCCTCATAGGGTCTATCCATGACTGGTATCAAAACTGGTTCTCCTGAAGCTTAAATTTATTTCATCTTTGATATCTTTTTGTGCATTTGATACACTTCTCCTTTTTAGTCTCATTTGATGATATCTGATTTCAAGATCCATTTTAATTGACTTAGCTGATTCTGACAGAACATGGTGATTTGATTAAATAAGCCATTGAGATTTGTTACTTCATTTCTTGAATAGTTGAACCTGTTGTGGTATCCATAATTCAATAGACATCTTTTTATTAGGGAATTGGTTCTTTTAAAGTGAGGAAGTGCACTTTAGAGACTAAAGTATGCTAATAACCATTAATTAGAAAATCAACGGTTAAAATTCTAATTAATTTTAGGGTTTGTTATGCATGTATTTAATTTTAGGATGAAACGAGTTTTAAATCACTCAAGAGTTGGACAAATTTAGTTCTAGTCCTTGCATTTTAAAAATGATGATATCTGATGTATTTCTGAAATGTGATGAATTTTGCCCCTATTAAGCCAAAATGAAATATAGGTGTAGAGATGAAATCCACCACATTTTGGAAATACAAGTACCAAATCACCATTTTTAAATGTTGGGATTAAAACCATTTTTGCTTGGATCTTGAGGAATCTAAAACTCATTTTACTCTTAATTTTATCACAATTCTAAACCATTTATTTTCTAATCAATGATTGCAAGAGAACTTTTTTCCCTTGTATTGTTCGGTATCAAAACCTGAGATTGGATGAGATTGACAAAACTGATATCTTAATGGATAACATCTTTTAAACAGGTGTGAAGCATATTCAACATATCCTCGGACTTATGATTTACTCCATGCATGGACCGTGTTTTCTGACATTGAAAAGAGAGATTGCAGTCCAGTAGATCTATTGATTGAAATGGACCGTATGCTTAGGCCTACTGGTTTCATCATCATAAGGGATAAGCAACATGTGATTGATTTCGTCAAGAAGTACCTAACAGCATTGCACTGGGAAGCAGTTGCAACTGCAGATTCCAGTTCTGAATCTGACCAAGATAACAATGAAGTTATTTTTGTCATCCAGAAGAAATTGTGGCTCACCACTGAAAGCTTTAGGAATACAGAATGAATAGGACAAGACAACCACAACAACTACATGGCTTTTTCATTTCCTCTTATATATTATTGTCTGCTGCTACTACAACGGATCCCAAGCATGCATGCACCCAGTGTTGGAAGCAGTCAACAACTGCATTTTGTAGCATTATTACATAATATTTATCATTTTCCTTCTTTGTATTCTCATTTTTGTGTTAATGATGCAAGTTATTATTAAGCCATATGCATTATGCTTCTATAGGCTATTCATTATTTTGCCCCTCATTTGGATATAATGTAAGCTACTTAATAATCAACACATAGTAAACTTTGTCTTGGTGATCAAAGTTTAGGACTTGTCACACTAAAGTGTAATATTTATACATGTATTTTTCTGCTTGAAATATCACAAGTCTCTTGTTTTCATATTACAATTTGCAGTATCAAAGTTACCACTTAAATCGGAAAACCGTGTCTTCCAAAATCAATGTATATATTCAAAGATTACAGGAATTAACAAATTAAATTAGTACTACTTGTAGATTCTAATCTTTAATTGATCTTTGTATTCGGCTTAGATACATTGGTTCTATGCTGCCACAAAACATAAGCCTTGATTTGAAATGATTTCACGTGTCTTTCTTATTCATCAAAAAAAAAAAATGATTTCACGTGATAGCAGAATGAATGGACCTTAATCACAAATTAAGAAGATTTTGCCAAACTAATGATGATTTGAGGCTCTTCCTGTAAGCATTCAATTTACTAATTTCTTTTTGTTGGATTATTCTTATTTTAAACAGCAAAATCATCTTAAAATTAATCTCCCTTTTTCACGGGGCAGTTAAGGCAAAGCAGCCAAAGATAATATATTTTCTAAAGGTAAATGATTAATAGGAACCACCTTTTTAACTACATGGCCCGTTTTGTTTTATTTTAAAGTATACCAAACACAATAAAAGCTACATGATATAATCTCCTATTCTAATTTGTCTACCAAAGGCTACGTAGACGGTGCCTAAACAGAATCCAGAACGGCAGAACACAAATTATCAAGAGATATGTCCTTTAGTTGGCGTCATGTACATGAAGCACATAAACTACTAAACTGCTGCAAATCATTTTATGATATTTTGTCCCCCTATACCTATTTTTGGACGTATAGGCTTCAAAAACTAGAAGAGCTATAATTAATCGCATATCACAAACATAGAAAAACTATCCAGAAAAAAGAGCCACAATCGATGTTTTAAGCAACAAGACGCCCAAAAACTACTAAATTGCTGCAAAATCTTAATACTGATAATATTAACTCCTGATCTGAAAAAGGAAAACAATCCATGTTAAGTCTATAAAATAGCTACTGAAAATCACAGATCAAAATCAGTACTTGTGGATTACGAACTAACAAAATGAAGTGAAACCTCACATTTTTAACTTGTATATGCCCCCATATAAAATAAAGAAAAATGACAACCTCAAACTTGTAAAAACAAGTAAATCTAGGACATTCTTTGGGCTGCTTCCTTGGCAAGGAGCTTCTCTTTTGCCCGGGTCTTGGCTTGGGATTTGGAACCCATGATCCCACCACCCCACTTCTTTCTGTATTCATCATACTTGTCATTGAAGTTGGCCTGAAAAGAAAAACAAGTAAAAAGCCCAGAAACCAATCAGAGTTAGTTAATATCATCGATTAAAAGACTCCCAAACAAACAAAATAATAAGATAAATCACCTTAATAGCTTCAAGGATTCTACTGAACTCCAGTTTGTCTTCATTCTTGACAGTCGTCAAACACAAAACTGAAGCAGTTTTCTTGTGGACAACCTGTCAAAAGGGCAGGTGAATTAACTGAATAAGACGAAAATCATAGATTCATACACACATTTTCTAAAAGCATATCTGCAGCAATGTTTCAAAAACCAAAAACACCATGTTCTGTTTCGAAAAAATTGCCTTGGTCAATAAATATAATTACCGTTCCTAATCGTGCTTTGCCCTTGACAATGCAGTATGGAATTTCCATCTTCCTGCACAATGCTGGAAGCCAGACCACAAGCTCAATTGGATCCACATCATGAGCAATCACAACTAGTTGTGCTTTATTCTGCCAAAAATAAATAAAAGAAACTGTTAGTGAAATATGACTAGAGAATATTTATGCATATTCATTATTCTCTTCAAGCATAAAATAACTACAAAAATAAGAGTAAATCTATTATTCAGTTTTCAAAAAAAATTATAACTTGTATTGCTTGGCTATGAAAGAGTTTCCTTCCAAACAATGCAAAATTGTTATTTTTGGACTGATGAAAAGAGATGCAACGGAACATTACAAAATGGAATGGCATTAGGTTCCATTGTTTGAATTATTTAAAATAAAACGAATTGGAATGTGAAAAAAAATTATGAAATGCATTCCAATCCATTCTCTCCAATACCCTTTTCTTTTTCTCCTTCTCCCCCAAAGGACAAGGATTGGGTCAAAACCACTTTTTTTTTTTTTTTTTTTTTTTCCATTCCACAATACAATATCTAAGCAATGGAACGATAACTTTGTTCCACTTAATTACATCCTACTTCATTCTTCAGCAAACACCAAATTCTCTTGAACATTATTCACTAAAGGCAATGAAGTCAACAAATCTTAAGACTAATTAACATAATTTACATAATCATAAACATCCAAACAACAACAACACAACCAACATATTTCACAGGCAAATCGCACATTTAAACCACCATCAAGATTTTTAAAAGGATAAAACATACATTCAGTATCAAAGGTACTAACGTGTTGTTCTCTCATCCAAATTGAAATTTCATCTCAATAATTTCAAAATAAAAGAATCCTTAAAGAATCTATTTAAATACAAACTAAAAATACTTCTAACAGCTTCTCTACCGAAGAAAGCTTTCTATTTTCAGTAGATAAATTGTCAACAACTCTTCTAAACTCGTATCCAAGCAGACTCTAAATGTGAATAAGTAGACAAAACATCAATTCTAATTGAAGAGCTATGATATTGAATCCAATTCGTAAAATACAGTCCACAGCCACAATTACAACTAAGGTTTGCGATTTCTACAACATTAAAAAGAGAAAACAAGAAAAAAAAAAAAAAAAAAAAAAAAAAAAAAAAAAAAAAAAAAAAAAAAAAAGGACCTGCTCAATAAGGTAGGTAACATGGTTGAGACCATATTTGACGACAATGGGCTTCTTAGCTTCAACGGGCTTCCCATCAGCCTCAGACTGGGCCCTCTTCAACAAACGCTCCTTCTTCTCCGCTTTATCTTCGGGCCTGTACTTGAGCAGCATCTTGAACAGGTTCGTCGCTGCATCCACAAAACCCCAAGTTAAAGTTAAACGCACCGTTTCACCAAGAAAAAAACAACAGGAGCGAGGGAAACGAAACGAAACGACGTAGTACCGAGGCTTTTGTCGAGGGTCTTGGTGAACTGATTGAGTGCGGGAGGGACCTTGAGCCTCTGCTTGAGGACGCGCTTCTTGCGCTGGATTTGAACGGTCTTGGGCCACTTGACGAAGCGCGTGAGGTCACGCTTCGGCGGCAACGCGCCTCCGATTCCGAACTGCTTCGGACGCTTCTCGAAGAGCGGGTTCGTCACCTTCTCGGGCTTCTTCTTCGCTGCCACCACTGGTTTCGCACCTCTCTTCGGAGCCTGTTATAGAAAATCGAACCATCCAAGTTTGATCAAAATGATAAACCAAAAACGAAGGTGACGCGGACTCACCATTGTCTCTGTGTGCCGGGACAGAGAGAGAAAGGTTCTTCTTTTTGAGGATGAAAGGACTCAGCATTTGCTTCGGAACTCAATTTTAAACATTGGGTTGTCGGGTCATCTTTGTTACAAAGTGGTCATATTTTGGCCCAATTCGTAGGTATTATGTAATTTGCGATTAGGCCAACTAAATTCTGGAGACAAACAAATTGTTAATAAAAATGAATTTAAAGAGAATAATAAGTAATTTTATTATTCTTATTGGTAGGGTAAGAGTATGAAATTGGTCATGCTTTTAATATATAGAATGTTGTATAAAATTAAAGTTTAAATTTAATTTATTGTTTATTATTTTTTTTAGATTTGATTTGATTATTTTAAAAGTTTAATTTAATTTATTAACATATTTAACATTTTATTTTATATTAATAATGTTAAATACCTTAATAAACTTAATTTTATATAAATTAATAAATCTATTTTTAAATATATAAGTGAATTTTTTAAATTTATATGATAAAAATATAGATTACTCTATTATTATTTTTTATACCTATTCTATTATTAATAAAAATTAAAGTTTAAAATAAAAATAAAAAATTAATATAAGAGAAACAACTCATGCTTATCATGATGTATATTAATACGTATTGACAAATGTATAATAAAAGAAGATAATCTTATAAAAAAATACTTTATAAATATTCATAATATCTCATTTGAAATATTCAAAATAACTAACTATGAAGATGAAAAGAAAGAGCGGAAAAAAATGTGACCGCTAGAATTTTTATTTTCAATTTCTTGATTTCATATGAACAAAAACATTTAAGTATAGTAAATATATATATATATATATATATATATATATAAAATATTAATAATTTGAATAGGTCAAATCGGATCAGATTAAGTTTTTAACAAGGCAAATCATAGGCCTTATTTAAGGCTTGGCCTATTTCCATTTCTAAGAAAGAGGCATTTCGTGGCTTTTGATGTATTTAAAAAAATGATGAGGTATGTAGTAGGGATGATAAAAATACTCGTACCCACGGGTATTTGTGGATAAAACCCGTTACGGATAATAAATGGATAGGCTAATTAGGTACCCGCGGATAATGAAGACGGATAATTTTTTACCCATTTATAAATGGGGCGGGGGCGGGTATGATGATATCCATACCCACGGGTACCCGTTTAATATTATTTCTTAAATATCCTAATTATCCTTGTACCACATAACCCTAAAACTTCACTCTCTCATCTTATTTTCTTACAAAAGTGAGGTTGATGAAGTTACCGACATGTGTTAAGCATGTTATAGAATTATGTTAGATGTAATTTGATTAATTTTCTAGCTTTGATTGGACCAATAAGATTTATGTATTTTAACTTATTTACTTTCATTTGGAATTATGAGATTGAATTATTGTAGCTTTGTGATGAGACTTTAACTTACTAGTGAGATTGATATATTTTAAGTTATTGATTATCTTGAATTTTTATTATTATTTCAACAAAATTAACGTTAAATAACAGTTCAAAATTAACATTAAATTTTTATTTTTAATATTTCAATGACATTAAAATATAAACTTAAAATTATTTGTAATATAATTTTTTTAATTTCTTAAAAATTTTATAAATATCCGTGGATGTCCGTGGATATCCGTGGGTATTCAAAAAATTAATGAATACCCACTTAATGGATACCCGCACGGATATGGAGTGGGTATGGGGCCAATTTTTATTCAGCGGAGCAGGGACGGGTTTACTATTACCCGGCCCCATGGAATCTCATTGCCATCCCTAGTATGTAGTAAATAGTTATTGAAAGCGGTAAGGAGACTTCTGATCTGTTATAGTTTTAAAAATAATATAAGAAAAGTGATAATGAAGTAGGTAATTATTGAAAGTGTGAGGAGGTTATTAATCATGTAAGAAAAATATTTATAAAAAAAACTCTTGATTTTCTAATTTTTGTTAAAGCAATTAAAAAGTGTAAGAAGAAATTTCTCTTTTATTTATTAGTATAGATATTAATATATTGAATAAAATGAATCTATTTAATTAAAATCTTCCATCTAATTTTCATACATACTATATTTTTGTTTTTTTGTACTTATTATCTATTGTATAAGAATTAAAAAGTAACATTTATGAAATTATAGCGATTAAAAATTATAATATATATATATATATATATATATATATATAAATTAAAATGAAATATTTTTAATTATAAAGATTAAAAAGTAAGGTTTATGAAATTACAGAGATAGAAATATAATGAAATATAAATAAAATATATTGAAGATAAGTGTGTAAACTTGTCAGGTTGGATCAAATTTGTGCATATATTTTTTTAATCTAACCTAACCCGAACATGAATGGATTGGATTAAATTGGGTCAATCGAGTTAACATAATTAAATTTATCTTTTTTATAAAAATTTTAATATTTAGGATATTTTGTAAATAATTTGATATCTTGTTGCAAATGAAATGTTATCAACTCAAAGCAAACAATGATACAACTCAATTTTAAAATAAATTTATTGATTTTCTATATCGTTATCAACTCAAACAACTAACATCAATATAAAATAAAATTTAACATAAATATGTTATATTATTTCAATTGTTGTTGTTGTATGACTGAGTTGGGTCACAATTGGAAAACGAAGAATCAATAATTTTAAAGATTGAATTATTTTATTGTTCCAATTGGATTGCTTAAATGCTAATACAAACTTAATATCTAATATTGAAAGCTTTATTTCTTGTAGTGAAGAAGGGAAAAACAATGTCAAAAACTTGAATTTTCCAAGTATATGCAGCAGAGGATGCAAAGAATTACAAATAATAGAGCAAGATTGGAGGCTTTAAGGTTACCCCAAATTTCCTCCATTTTTAAGAGTCTAATTCAAAATGCTAAGAACATAAATAAAGAAAAAGTTGAAAAAGATGATGAAGACTACATAACTGAAGATGAAGTAGAACTTGATCAAATTTTTTTAATGAGGATAACAACGATAATGATGATGTCGTTGAAAATGCTTTTAGTGTCACAAAAAAGAAAGGCAAGTATTGCAATTTTTTTCATTGTAATTGTAATACCATCAACCAAGTATGGTACCCCATAGTCTTATATCCTCTAACAGAATTTTAGAAAATCTGTATTTGGGTAGTCACTTTGTAGTTCTTAGAGGATACCAATTTTAGAGAACCCTTATCATTTTGAATTGACACTTGAAATGCATCAACAATTCATTAATTTGGCATTCCTGTATACATATTTAATAATGTAATTTGTATTTACCTTTAATTTTTATAATTAATTATTGTAATTGATGGATGATGAGATCATTGACATTAAATTCTAAAAAAGTCTCTAATAGTCTATTTATTCACGTTGAAAAACAAGTGAATGAGTTTCAACTCAATAGTGCAACTTATGCCTCAGAAGTGATGACTTTAGAACAAATTGAATCTAATTTAGGTACTTTTATGACACTTTTTTAGGAATAAATAAAATAATATTATTATAAAGTGTTAGTAATTTATCTTATTTATTCTAGGTGATCATATTATTAGGAAAGGACGTAAACATACAATTAATGCAAAATTTAAAAAGAAAAAAGAAAAGCTTATGGAAAAAGGAAAAAATATTAACATCCAATTTCCTCTACCATTTTATAAGATACGTGAAAAATATGCATGCAAAATATTTGAAGTCAGAGGCCCAAGTTTGTATATACCAAAAAGCTCATTCTCAAGTTAATAGTTGGAGTGAAATAGCTAAAGATAATGTAGATGAAATGTGAAAACATATGAAAAATACAATTATTACTTTTGTTCAACATAATTTATATTTTTAAATTTGGTTTGATAATGTTTTATTTTTATTTTTCTTATAATATTCACGTGACATAGGATGTATTAAGTTTATCTCATGAGGTCAAGGAATATATGCATTGAAGCAAATTATTTTTTTTATAATTTTATATTTATACGATTATAAATAATTTCTATTCATATGTAGGAAAGGAACTTGAAAAATAAAGTTAATCAAAATAAGCGAGAGATGAAATCAATTACTGGTATAAAATTAATTGTGCAAAAGACATTTGAAATGATAATGTTTTATGTAAAATTCTTCATCCATTATATAAAACAATTACCCCTTTTATTTTTATATAGGATAGGATATTAATAAATGTAAGTTTGCAAATTTATAAATCCATTCAACACTATTTTTTTAATTTAATTATTAATTTACTTATATGATCTAATTATATTTAATTTAAATAAAAATAAGAATCCAAAACTGATGAATAGTCAAACGCTATGGAAGTGTGAAAAGTAACATGTATGAGATCTAATAGGACTTGGTGCATTCCAAATAGAGAACAAATTATAGTAAGTAAAAGATTATTTTATAGACTTTATGTTGTTATTAAATATAAAATATTAATTATATATATGTTGTATATAGCATATTATATATAGTTGCAATTTTCTTTATGTATTGGTAGTTAGTAATAATCCTTTTGTGCAATTTTTTTATATCTATTTGTAAACTAGTATAGTGAAGCTTTTAATAACATTATAAAACTTTTTATTTTATTTTATTTTTTATAGGAAGATTTAAAGAATGTAAGTGATACATATTAAGAAAATATTTCAAAGGCCCATGTACCAATGGTGGAACACTTTGTCATGGTTTTAGGAAGAAAATCAAACCACTATACGGGTGTTGGTAGTCCAAGAATAACTAAGAAATTTTCACAAAAATATTTTTTTTTTTTAAATCAACTTGAGAATGCTCAAAATCAAGGAAATAATTTAGAGACTTACAAGTGCGAAAATTGACTGATATTACTAAAAAATAATAGGAGACCAATATTCAACTACAAATTGAATTACAATCCTAAAGACAATTGATTGATGCTCAACAAGAACAAATGAAGCAAAATATTGAGAATAAAGTAAAACATCAAATTGTTAACTTGTTGGGAGAAATGTGATTCTATGAACTTTCTACTCACTTGAGTTCTCCAGTTAAAGATGTAATTTTTCTTTTATTTAAAATCTTATATTAATTAATATTTTTATAATGACTTATATATAACTACATTTTAA